GGGAAATAGAAGTCTGCAGTAAAGGGCAATATTTTTGACTAAAAGTCAGTGGAGATTCGGTTATTAATAAAACTTAGCAACGGAACCTACTCACTCCTCAGCTTCCCTCACAGGCGTCGCGAGGACGCGTGCCGGGGGCGGGGCGGGGCGGGGCAAGCGCCGCAGGTGCGCTCGTGCTCCTGCCCCTTTCCCCAGGGACCCCCCAGGGGCCACCCGCAGGCTTTTGTTAGCCCAAACATACACAGCTCCTACGTTAAAGCTACTGGGCATCTTCTTTCTGTGTTAGAGGGATTTTTATTAAATTACTAAGATTATCATACACCATTACAAAACACATTACCTTATTTTGTTCGTGTCTTAAATGGGTAAAGATCAACCTATGGTAAAAAGTTTATCTATGTTCTTTTCCTTCCAGTTACAACTCTCATACAACTGGGAAATACACTTGAGATCCTGTTATACCACGAAAGGAGGTTGGTCTCACCTCCATGTTTGATTAATTTGTTGCTTCCCAAGTAAAGGTTTGATGATGGACTCAGCAGATCTGCTGGTCATCAGGCTGAAGGTTCAGCTGCAGTGGTGCTTGCAAGAGCCCAAGGCCAGAACCAATTACTAGTTAAGGGCTCATTTACTAGGACCACTTATCTGATCACAAATGAAATGCAGCTGTTTTGCAGAAGGAAAGGAGTAAATGCTTCCACCTATAGCACTATCTGGAGTGGGACTGCAGGTGCAGCCGGCAGCTCACCGTAGACCACACGCACCGGTTCTGAGGAGCTGGAAGGCAAGTGCAGCATTACCTTTATTGAAAGTATTGATTCACACATTATTAGGAACACAGTACCACTTTAGGAAAAGTTATCAGAAATATGAATATACTAAGTAACATCAGATGTAAATGAACCATCTGGTTCACTTTTGTACATGCTAAATGGTTTTGTTGGTTTTTTTTTTCCTAGATCTGTCCATACCGTACAGGTCTGATTAGTAGCCCTCCTTCTGCGGGCAGAGTATTCTATACAGATTGACCTGTCACAGCACTGGCTTCCAAGAATAGAGATCGTAAAATAGTTTAAAAAAAGAAAAAAAAAAAGGAAGAAAAAAAAAAGGCATGTGAACCTACTATCCTAAGGCACTCTGAGTCTAGCAAGCTAAGCTGGAAGCTCGTTTTATTCTTATAGCCAAAAGCAGAATACAATGGAAGGCTCCCCAGAGAAGAGAGAATTTACAGCTTTTATTAGGTCTTACAGATAACCACAGTATCCTTTATCAGTAGTCACTGTATGGACCAAAAGAGGTAAACAATTAATGTGAACATACTATATTACTAAACGAGTATTACCACAAAAATGAAAAAACACTTTACCAGACCAGAAGACTGCTTATATCTGGCTAATCTCAAGATGTTTTTTTAATTGTTTACAAATAGTTTCATTATCATATATCCTGCAGTTCTAGAGCTGAGGCACTACAGAACAGGCATCAAAAGTCTCAACCAAATTCCCAGTTTCATACATGCTATGACTAACATTTTAAAAAATCATTTCCAGACAACTTCAGTCTCAAATCTCTTAAGTCTCTTAAATTTGTCTTAAATCTCTGGAGATCAAAAAGCTCTAACATACTTGCTCCTGAGAATAATTAGCCCCCAAATTATTTTTTTAAGTATACCTGAAATATATTGCTAATTTACAAACATGTTTCAGGGTTACATGATTGGTCAGTAAACAAGTCTTTGGTAAATAACAACTACTCTGTTCTTTACTCAGTTAAAAAACTTAATTTCTAAATCTAGATTAACTGGGTTTTTTTAATAATTTTTTCTATAATGAATAAGGCTTATATGGCACAACAGTGAGTGGGTATGTAGCTAAACCTGAACAATGTTTTCAGGTTACAAATCCTGTTAATATTAGGTTCCTGCTCGGGCTTATTTTCTTTTTGTGCCTTTCAGCCAGGCCCAGGAACCTGAATCTGAATGAGGGCTTTCTAATGATTTAGATTTCCAACATTTAAAAGTGTCAGCAATCTAGAAAATACTGTCCATCGCAAGGATACATTCTACAGTAGGTACTGGATTGTATGCTAAAACTACAACAAACCAATTAGTTTAAGGTTGAAATAATACATTATAGCTGCAGTATTTCCTAAAGATGTCTGCTTTATCATTTCTGCAGTAAAACAGAAAAACTATGCACTAAGCATGCTTGTGCGAATTGGAGATGACTGCTTGCTCCCAAAGGAAACCTAAACGCACAGGACATAGGCAATATGAACGAAAATCCAGTAAGAAACATTGACTTCCATTTTATTAGAAGAATCCAATTAGAAACTGAATGCCTAAACTGGTATTTTTAGTGTTTGTGTACTAGATGCCTTCACTTTGGCTAAAAGATAGTATGCCACGTCCTTGAAGAAAAATAGCAGTATTAAATAGATCTTGTAATTTCAGAGGAGAAATAAAAAGAAGTCTTCTTTAGGTTTGGCTTACAGAGTTTTGGGGATTGTTTTAAACATGTCCAAGAAATTATGAGATTATTTTCGATGACTGTTAACAGTTTTACTGTTCTACTACAGTTTTTTAATCATCTGCCTTGTTAAAGGTTCGGTTACATTTGAGACAATAAATAGTATACTTTACAATAAAGAATTTTCAAGTCAAGGTATTGTACTTACAAAATAATGTAACACTGTAATAGGATCTTCAAGATCAATTCTATTTTATATATTCTGCAGAAAAAAAATAACATTTCTAGTAGGAAGGAATTACTTATAAACCTAGCAAGATCTACACATTCACATGTGTGTGTAAACAACTTAACAAGGTTTATTATGTTTCCAGAAAAGCTATGCTTTTACAGTAGGTTTTCAGCTAAATGTTATCATAACGTGGTAGTAAATATATAACAGTGCTTATATTTAGCTCCATCACAAATTTTAATATGCAAGAAAAATGGAGTGCCATTATTTACAAAGAACAGCAACTTTCCTTTTGCTTCACAAGTGACTGTATCTGTGTGTGAACAAAATGTTAGGGCGAGGCATCCCAGATGAACTGCAGCTAAGGCTGGACGAGGATGATTTCATGATGAACAGTGAAGGTCCTGACAATAAATACCTAGAAAGGATATGAAAAATATAGCAGAGTTTACAGGCAAAGTGACATTCAAGAGCAAAACAATTAGTTGTTCATGTGCCATACCTTACAATCATTGTATGCAAATATTATGTACAATAAATACTATTTATAAAACATACAGGGCATTAGGCACTAGCTAACTCAGGAAACAGATCTAAACTCAGAGAAACTCTTAGGAAAATTTCGAGATGTTGTATGAGGATCAAACATCTTCCTAGTCCTTTATGTTTAAAGCAAGCAGACAAATAAAACAATGGCATCCTGTGTAACACTACTACCAAAAAGTAATACTTCACCCATTGTTCTCTGTTATTATAGTACTATTTATTTAATTTAGACTGAGTAAAAACTGCAATTGATGTTAACCAGCTTATAAAAAGTTACATTGTAAAAAAAGTTGATTGGGGAAAAACCAGAGATTTTCAGCTTTGGTTTCCAGCTCTAATTCTCTGAAAATAGACATGCTATCATCACTACTCTAGTAAAGCAAGAAACAATGATGCTACAACCTAGTAAGTCACATCAGTGATTATTTACCTTTTAAATTCAGGCAACTATATAACCTGCATTTTATGTAATACTACAAAGAATAATTTATCATATGCCTAATATTCATTCTTAAATCTTTTCATGTTATCATTTCCTATATAGTTAATTGTAGAAGTCATTAGGTGAGCACAGTGCAAAAATAACATCCACACTAAATCAGAATTTCATAATGAATTATATCAATGTTAGGATAGATTAACACAACACATTGTATAAACTATTGCTTAAAAATTGTTGCATCATTCTAGTGAATCATATTGATTAATGATGAATAAGTTAAAAGACTAATCACAGGGATAGAAACAGCATCACACTGTCAACAGGAGACAATCTATATAAGAAAGTGTACACGTGGTTTATTTAAGTTTTGAGAAAAGCTATTATAAAAAATATTATCACCAATACATTTTTTTAAACAATTTACAAAAAAATAAAGTCTGATTTGGAATGGGTTGGTGGTGAGCTTGACAGTTCACTATGTCACCAGACTGAGTCCTACCTTTGCTTGGTGATACGGTAAAAAACTCTAACGCTTCCCAGAGAATACGCCGTGTAATTGGTAAGATTATTTAGCAAGCTGTAAGGATCTAGCAGCAGATGGTAATTTTTTTTTTATTTTGTAACACAGGTGCATTTATCAAAACATGAAAAGTCTGACTTTTTACACAGTTTGATTTTAGCTATTATTGTTAAGAGATTTTGGTATAGTTATTGAGCTCTCCTATTGTTTTCTTTACAGTTTCAATTTTATGAGGAAAAAAAATGACATTAAGACACATTTACATTAATACTCCTATTCATTCTCTTCATGACATATATTGGATTTAGAGTTAGGAAATAGGATTAAGGACAAATTTGAAAAGTGAAAAAAGAACTCTGTGGCAGTTTTTGTTGTCTTTTTCTCTCTCCCTGTACAAATAAATTTTTCCACCTAAAGAGGTATCTATTTGTAATCTTCGAAGCTTTAGTTCCACAAACATTTATTTCATAAACACAAACAAAACAAAAAATGAGTTTGTGCTCAGAAAAAACAAAGTTCTTCAAATTAGATTTTATAAAGTCTTGAAAAAATTGACTTGTACATTTATTAAATTATACTCCGATCTTTTCTTGCACTTCACACAATTTTACAGAGTCAAGAAAACTATTAGTAGTGCAGATACTTATATCATTTACAAACAGAAACCTAGATGAAAAGTGAAATAGTATTGTGGTATTCCCATCTGTAGAAAAATAGTTCATTACCTTACAATTGTGGGGCATAATGGGCAAAGGCACTTATTTCCATATGTATCTTTCATTTCACAAATTCAGAATATCATGGTTAACTAGCATATTGCTGTATCCACACTATAGAAGTAACATTTGTGGAGAATTAATATAAAAACTATAACTTTCATCAGAGTTGTCATGACACTCCATTGCTGAAGATATACTGATATTTAGGATATAGAGGGCCTAGATTTCTCTAGCCTGTGAAATTTATGAATAAACTTTCATTCAGCATCCAAAGAAACATAGGAACTGGAGACGAGCAAGTTCTGCTGGACTATCCCTTTCACTGCTTACCAAATGCAAGCCTGTTAGCTGCAGTACATTAGAGTAATCCAATCAGTTTGAATAGTTTGTGGTCGGTCATGATGAAAAATTTTCTGCAGTATTAACAGTAAAAGCAATAAAAACTTCAAGGTTGCAGATTTTCTAGTCTTAGTTAATCCAAATGACTTTACCATACTCTTGCTATAACTCAGTAGATCTTAATACTGAATATGATTGGTTTTGTGGCTAACATACTTCTACTTCTGCTGTGACCAAACAAATTCAGTTTCTGGTTGGTTTTAAATTAAGTTAGAGTGCCTTAAGATCCATATGACAATAACAAATGGGTTCAGTGTATCAAATAACTAGTCTGAGAGATAGCAAGTAAGTAATTAAGTCATAAAATAAGTTTAACAGATAATATATCAAAGGTTTGCTTTTCATGTACTATTTAACTCATAAAGCCCTTCTATGAAATAATGTCTGTAAGACATTTTATATAAACAAAGCATTTGTAAGTTTATACACGTCATAATTCAAATTGCCATTATGGATAGAATTTGGAACATAAGTAATTTGAAACTGAGATTTAATTCTCCACCAATGACTGTTAAATTGCAGATTGTTGATTCCCACAGTTGGAGCATTTTCAGTAATCCCTATACTGAGAATATTATAATCCCTCTTGTATCCGGTTGGAGAACTAAACCAGCCAATGGAGAATCAGGTAAGTGCCAAATAATTTTTTTACTATATGATGCTGTTTTGCAAGGTTTGAAAATATATTTATGCTCTGTAAGATGAAATAATAAAACTTTCAATCTGTAGGTTTTGAAAATCAACTTTGCAAAACTGTGCAATACAGTAAATCAGATGGCACTTACCTGACCCTTGGCAGGAGCTCTGCCCCTATAGCATCCCACTGCGAATGTGAAGCCAGAAGTATCACACATGTTAGGATACCTCTAGGAATGCAAATCTGGAATCAGTGACTTTGAGGGATCTGAGAAGGGGAAGAAAGGATATTTTCAGTTCACTTAATGGAAAGCCTTTGCTGCAGCTACTTAGGCAGTAGGCAATCAAGACTTTAGTAAGTGTAGTTTCACACAAAATGTGTATATCAAGTCTTCTTTTAGTAGCACTTCATGAGTGGGCTAGAGGGATTAGAACGATAAAAACTCAGGATCAAGGGAAATGTTGGGGGTTTTGCCTTTTTTTTTTTTAAATACACAGTAAACTAGGCTTAAAGAGAAGTGTAGTGGTAGCAACATAGACTGAAACCTGTTCCCATATTATCATTTATACTTACCATTTAGGAAATGAATATTGAAATTCATACCTTGTATCATCCCAGTGGGGGTTAATCCCAGTTGGAGATCCTCTTGAATCTGATGAGTATTTGTAAACCACCAGCAGGCAGTGTTTACAAAGCTGTACTATTCGTTGGCAACACTGGAGCTGCTCAGGCGTCACCACCTCTGTGCTTTTACTGAATATGGTTTCCCAAGAGTTCCTGTTATGGAAAAAGAAATTACTTCATGTTTTCTGTCACAAATTGCAATCGGAGAGCTTTACTGCTTTGTATCAGATTTAACAATAGAGGAACAAGAGAAAAAGCATGACCTTGCCTGTTTACAGGAAAGGTCTATACTATTTAGCACAAATGCTGGCAGATGCTGAGTCCAAAACACAAATTAAGACATTAATCTTGATACGTGAAATGTCCACAGCCATTTTTCACTTGGTTTGTTCCCTAAAGCGTTTATAGGGCCATTATTTAGGTTTAACACATAAAGATTTACTGTCACATAATTGTGCATGTGTCTTACAACAGGAATAACAAAAACCACTTCTTAACAGGCTACCACCTGAATGTGAATGTGATCTGATAATAAAGGATTTAATAATAGTAATAGATTATTTCTAAATGTCGACACAGCATAATACTGTTCTTCTAATTTAAGTACATGATACCAAGAAAAAAATACGAAATTAATTTACAGGAGATTAGTGTGTGCTCTGCTTCCTTATCCAAATAATCATATGAGGAGAGTTTTTCAGTTTAGTCATTCAAATACTACTTATTATTCCATCTGGTCATATGGGGTTGGTCATCTACACAATTAAGTGCAACTTGCGAAGCATATCTATAGAAGCATTCCTTTTTGAAATGCAGACCATCATGCTTTTGTTTTCTTAAAAAGCCACTTCTCTTTCTAAAAAAACCCAAACCCTACCATACCAACATAAACCAGGTATGTTTCACCTCAGAGGACAACAATAGTTCTTTGCATACCCCTCAACACTCCTGTTTGTACAAAATTCTGACCAGATTACAGATTATTACATCTGTTTTAAAGGCAACATGCTCCCTGTGAAGACTTTTTTTTGGTCAAAACATTATCCAGTAGCAGAGATGGTTTGTAAGCTTGAGGGTTTTGTTTGTTTATGAAAGAAGCACTTCATAGCGGAAAACTTGGTGCATCTGGCTTCAACATAGCATCAAGAATGATTTAGCCTTGTCCTCTGAATTCAGCAGTAGATTCCACAACACTGGTGTAGGAAGTTTGTCCTTAAAACAATATCAAAGAACCAGCAAGCTTACTTCTGCCTAGTGAAATTTTTTTAATTACACTGTATTAGGATGGAATTATAAACAGTAATGACTAAAAGATAAGCTGTATGCATAGCTAACTGACTTTTCAGCCTGGCTCCTCAGTCTAGATGATATGTTCCAGCTGAAACTGTTCAGTTCTACAGAATTTCCACTGCACACATAATTTCCAAGTGACACAAGCATTTCTCCTTAATTATTATCCAATAATGAATTGTTTAAGAAATATTGTTTATAAGGCAAAGCTGTTTCATTTCATAAACAGAATAATTCTACTACTTGAAGAGCTACTATTTTCTTTAATAAATTTTTCTCAATATTGTTTCCTGTCTGGGAACTTTCCACATGTTTTTACATGTAAATTAATCTACTGTCTTCATTCTTTCCTCATGAAGTCATATGATGGTTGGTAGAAAGCAGCAAGTTCTCAGTATTACATTCAACAGATTCACAGTGCTACACATAATTATATTCTAATTCAATCCATAAATCTCCAAAATCCTGTGGAAGAAACTCTCCTCACAACTTCCTTAGGTTCTGGGCTTTGAGGTCTGTGATCACTTTCCTACCGCTAGGAGGAATTTTATCAGCGAAGAATAATATGTGGCCTGTTATAACTATGGCCGAATATGAACATAGTGGTATACAGTTACCCTAATAACAAAGATTTAGATTTGGAAATATATATGTGAATTTCAATGAGCTTTCATAGAAATGTGCCTGTGCAGCCTCCTCCATGTGCTACGCAGATTCAGTTCATACTCTGTTATACTGCAGTTAACAGGGATCAGAGTACTGTTACCTAAGGAAGCTTAATTTATTATGCTGTAACTTTAGTTTCCATACATTAGTAAGAAATCATGGAGTCCTCATCAGATCCAGAAAAGAGTATTATGCTTGATTGTGCAATATTGTCAATTACGTATTCTTATAACCATCTGAAGTCAACTGGTTCTATGAGTTTTCTCTTATTAATTTTAATCGTTCATTATACAGTAAAACAAATGTATCTATCGACATCATAGTATTTCACTGAGGTTTTCTTTGTTTCTTTATTCATTCTTTTTGCTAATATAGCAATGCCTAGCAGACATCTAACCAGACAGAGGAAACCTTAAGGCTATTAGCTCTGCTTTTCACCCAAGACATATATCTTATGAATAGTCAAAGTACTATACTTCTTAATATATTTTCATAGTCATGTTGTTTCTGAATTAGCACATTAATACCCCTTCCTGATATGTTTCCCCAATTTCTACACATGCCCTATGTTTACTCCAATCTGTTCTTTCAAATGGCATAATGAACTCTTAAGGAAGAGTGATGAGAAGTTGGCGCCTCTGCTACAGAGGTGCTGCCAGGAGTACTCTGTTGTGGATTACATTACAAGAAGGATGCTTGTAACCGAACAAACAACATATTGGTAAGCTACAGTCAGCCTTTCTGTTTTCTTCTGTGAATTCTGAATTAAGTATATTACATGCAGAGTCATCGCTACACATACTGGATATTTCTATATTACTTGGATAGTATTTTTAGAATATTTCACATAGCAACTCCTCTTACAAGGAACTGGATCTCTGTCAAAGAATTTAGCTCCACTTTGGAGTCAGCTTAGTTTTGTTCTACGTGAATGAAATTATTACTAGATGAGAAATCCTGCTCTTCATTGAACTCTTCTGCTGGCTCAAAGACTATTATCCTGAGCCAACTGAGCAGCAGAGTTGTTCAAAGGTTTTGAACAAAACCCATTCTTTGTAGAGAAAAAAAAAAAATTCTAAAATGAAATTTTCAGGCATATTAGAAAATTTGCACAATAAAAGTAAAATTCAAAATAATAACAGCATTATTAAAAGGGAAGGTAATTATAATATTTTATGACCACAAAAATTGAGCTTGGACTCAAGACTTCACACACCTCTGCTGGCATGAAGAAGGGGCCCTGCAGCTGCTGAGGATGACAGAAAAAAAAATGTTTCAGATTGGAAATACAGAAATCTTTTCTCACCCTACTTTAACTTTTGGAGTGTGCTGTATTCCCAATACCTACCTCCAGAAAATCTTAAGGCTGACATTATCTGCATATTCCCATGGCCTATCTCAGTGAAAAAAAATGTGAAGACTCCTAACAGCTTTCACAACAACAACAAGCCTTCAGCAATGAGAATACAATGGTAAAAAAGCACCCCAAAATGATGACCTTTTCAATACTCTCAGATCCCTCCTCTTCTTGTTATCCATTTTGTTGGGAAACAATTAACAAGTGCATTACATGCATTCTCTACATATGACAAACGACTATATATGAAGAATATACTGACCTGGTTCCTTTGTACGTACAATATCCATCAGCATACTGTTGTGTTTGTTGTAGTTAATTTTCAACAAATCTCTTAGAACATCTTATGCAAGCTAATCAAAAACCCTCTCATTCTTTATACATTGTATGCAATTACATTGTATGTACTTACAGAGAAAATGTCTTTTTGTATGCAATATATTTCATATTTAAACATTGGTATTCTTATTTTATGAAGAAATCTGGCGGCTGCGGAGGATTATTTTATACCTATGAACTGATCCTCCAAACTTATCCTTACATGAATGCTTTTTATTTCAAGAATGTAGATTTTGAAGTGTAGGATATTGGAACTTCCGATATATAGCCTGATCTTCTTTCTCTCATAGAAAACTTGTATTTGCTACCCAAACCAAAAACATCTGCTTACCTCAGTATGGACATTTTCTATTCTGCATATACTTAAATTCCCGTCTGTGTGGGAAACAGTGAATGTAATCAAGCACAGAAATTCAAACCCATTATTTTGTAAATCACAGAACTGACATTGCATTTGGTATGAGGCATCAGCTGCACTTGTGACTTAATTCTTCCCTTGTAAGTCTTGAGCTCAAATAGATATGACAAAGATTTCTGTTGATGGTAAGTCCACATTTGACACTTACAGTGGTCCAGCCTCAAAATTGTGCACCATCCAATGAAAGAGATGACCTAAAGCTCAGGTATTTTGAAATTATTTTTTTTTCCCTTAGATTATTATATTTGTAAATACATTACTAAATGCCTGATTCCATTACTGAAATGGTTGGCCTAGATTATTAGATTTCTAATTATACTATATCTTTAGATGGTTTTCAAACAAGTTCAATATATTACAGCACTCTCCTGAACAAAAACAAGCAAAAAAGTATGCCAGCATTGATTGTAATTGTGAAGTTATGAAGACTAAGATAACAAAAATAGGCTTACCCTGAATTACAGAAACAGTTCCATAGACCTTGACCATGGCTCCAAAGTAAACGATTAAATACACGGTTAAAGAGACGGTACAAATGTAAATTTTCAATGTCTGGAGCCTTCCAGACATGCTGGAGAACTGCACGAACACTTGTCTTGACTATATCCAAAACCTAGGAAGGAGTATTCCAAGCAAATCAAAGTAAAGGCATATTGCAAAACCTAAACCCAACTGTTCACTGATTCACTGCACACATACTTACACAAGCACACACACACAGATGACTGCATAGCTGTAAATTCCCACTGATGTCTATGTTTCATTTCTGTGCATTCATCAGTAAACTTTTACAATATCCCTTTTCTGCCAATAACATTTTGCAAAGCCAAATCAAAATATTTTATTTTTATAACAGGAAAGTTCATTTCTATTTTTTTCAGTCTGTTCAATAATAGCTCATTTAAATGACAAAAAGAGTTTAAAAAGAAACAAAATGGACACAATTACAGACTAGAGGCAACATAATTAACAACCCACATATACTATATATTTGAAGATTATCTCTTTTTCTTTTCCTCCTCCCTTTTAAGATACCAACTATTTCATAAAGAACTAAACTGTCCTGAAAAGCTACAAACTGCTTTTAGTTTAATGCCTATTTAAGCTCAGTGTTACCCTAGATCAAACCATTTAGTTTACCTTTCATGCAGGAAATAGTGCAATGAAATCAATAAGTAAAAAAATAATCAGCAAGATATTTAAAATAGCAATGCTTATACAAATGCAGCAGATTTATTGTCTACGAACAACATTTAAATGCAAGTCTGTAAAGATGTGGGTGAAGAAAACACAAAGCTGTGTTCAGTACAGCACTGAGAATTTTACCCAGTAAGTCTTAGCTACTCAGTGCACACACACACTTGTAGGCAGTCACGCACTCAACTCAGCGGAGTCCTCTTGGATACAACTTTGCACCTCCCACTGAACTGGGACATGGAAAGTGGGATTCATCTTGCCTGCTTTTATACATCTGTACATTCTCTTAAGCCAGGCCTCTAGGTTCCCTCCATAATCACTGAAGAGAAAGAGGCTCCAGAGTCTCTTGGCTTCTGTCTATTTAGATACTGCTAGTAAGAGTGGGAATAGTTTTCTGACCAAAGTAGTATTTAGTCCCCACACTGGCACTGTGAACAGTGTAATATCTGTCCTGAAAACAGCCTATGGTGCATGTAACATATTAACAAACAATCAATCAGTTAAATCAACATGATTTCCTGTAGATGAGACACCCTTACTGCCTCTTTAACAAAACACGATCTTCCAAAAAACCAAACTCAAGCGGGTGGTGAACCGATGAAGGTATTCATTTATTCGGTATAAGATGTTGCAAATTAGAAGGTAAAATACTTCCCCAGGGAACGTTCAGGTATGTATAACAAACTGATTCACACGTGAAATACCTGACTCTCAGAAGATGAAGGAGATTTAGTAGAACAGTAAAGTATGGAAGCACGGTGCAGAATTGCAATTTTTTGGTTCTGCATAACAAACTGTTGTTTATAAATAGTCTGATTAGACATGATGAAGGAAACAAAGCATAAATAAACAAAATGCTTACAACAGCACAATGAAGCTGCATAGTAGATAGTAATGCTTAACAGGCAGAAAATCTATAGATATCCAATAATGACAACCTCAATGAAATACATCATTTACATGGTATTTAAGCTCTTTTTTGAAGACCTAGGATTAGTCTGCATGCATAGGTCTTGCATTAATTCCATGCACATAATAACCCAATGCAAATACAATGCTGTCCTCTCTGTTGGGAATCTTTATGAATGCACATTAAAAACCACACCTGTGGTCTCTTCCTCTCAAAGAGTGAGATAGAAAGAGTAGTAAATTATAATGTAAGAACAGTGATCTTGTTTAGTGACTGCAGGAGCTAAACCCAGGTTTTGGACTGCCCCACACTTATGGAATGGGTCCAGATTTTCAGACATTCCCTTCGCAGCGTTAGCCTACTGTTTCAATGCTTCTCAAACAGCCTTCTCCTTGTGTCTCACCTGACTAAGGCTTTCCCACACAAATGGCCAGTAGCTGTGATTGTATACACCCATTTGAACCAACTAAGTCCCTAAATTACATAAAGGATCAACCATACATTTCTTTGCAATGTTACACTGACTAATAGTAATTTATCTCCCTGTGTAAAACAGAACAATTCCACCCTGTATAGATTCTCTCACTAGTCCAACAGACATGATGATAAGAACTATGATGCCAATGTAGAGCTTTTTCTTTTACTTTAGCACCTGGAGTTGCAGAAAACTAAGGACTGAACCTTGCATCTTAAAGCAAGCCGCAGAATGACAGGTACTCTGGAAAAAAAAAAAACAAACAAACAAACTTTCTTGCGGTTTTTACTGTGATATGCCAATATGCCAGAGGGGAAAACAGCCCAGTTAATTGTTCTTAATTTGCAAACATGGCCTCAATCATCCATTTAAGAAAAGAGACAAGGCATTGCACAAGAGCTGGAACTTCATGAAACCTAGATCCTCATTTTTCTAAGTTAATTTCCCTCGTTTACCTTCATCTTTGTTTACTTTAATTTACATCATTTACTTTAACATAACCAATTATCCAGCTGTAACAGAACAAGATGTTATGAATTTTTTTAGAGTGTATTCAAAATGCTCTGGTAACCATCAAAACCCTCTTAAAGAAATTATGTAAAAGTGATGTAACATGAGGCAGTCACAACTCCTTCCATACAAAAGTCTCTTTTTTCCTAAAAGTCTTGGGAGACTAAATTTCATTTTAGCATGTATTGATTTCATCGGTTTACTCTCGACTTGCTTCTAAATGCCTCCTGTACCTCGGCTGTAATGCCAGAATATTACACACTAAGAATATGAGCAGAAATTTAATTTTTTTACATCATGTTGAATAATTGTTAAGCAAATATAGCTGTCAGGGATGAACATTGTGAAATCTAGTACATTGCCCAGGTATTTTCGTCTTGTGTGTTAGAATTTCCCAGAAAGCATAGTGAAGGCAACTGAGTTTGTTTTGTATTTCACAAAGCTGCAGAAGGTACCTTTGAGACAGATTCCTTACTTGCATAAATATTCTCCACCTTGAGCTCGTTTCTCCTTTACCCACCTCACTGGAATATAAAACATACTTCTTTCAAATCAACAAAAGCTTACACATTTGGCAGTCCTCAGCTGCAATGTCATTGTCAAAGTTAATCCGTTTTTTATAAACTACCCTTCTAAGAATAACTATCTGATTGCTTGAAGGGATTGAGGTTAAAAGCAGTTTAAAAAAAAAGAAGGCAAATAATTTCCAGTGCAAGGAAAGATGAAGGGCCCACAAGTGCTTGAGGAATTATAAGTCTCCTAAGTCGTAAAAGAGGTCCTCAGAAGAAGAGAAAAGAAATCCACATTTCTGATTGTGCGGTTTTTGCTAATAATGACCTGGCATTACAACCTATATCATCCTGACTTTGTACATGTGCCCTTGGTTTTACACAACTGTCAGTAAAATAAAGGACAGAACCACCCTTTATTGTAGGCTTTCTGCAATAATGCTTAAGGGAGAGAATTCTGACTAGATTGAAAAGAAAGTAAAAAAAAAAACCCCCCACACAACACAAAACCAGACAGACACACGTACATTAAGCCAGATGGCCAAAAGGAGCTTTGGAAGAGCAACTGAAGAATGTACAGTAAACAGCCTCAGTCCCTCAAAGAGCAGATTTATCAGCCTCCCTGTGGCAATTCCTTCCCATAGTTTTGGGGAATGACCTGTGGGGAAGGGTTGAAAAAGACACCTTAACCAGTCTTGTGTGAAAGCCCTGTATCTCAGTTGCAAGGATAGGCCCAGTCTAGTGACTTCTTCCCACACTCGTGGCATCATAGATGAAAGAAAGCAATGCTAGCAACACGTCCCCCCCTCCAGTTTCAACTGTCCCAAAGATTCCTGCCGAGAAAATGAGATCTCCATTGCAACAGCAGTGTGAATTTTGGGCCCTGTTATCTATGTATGTATGTATCTATCTATCTATCTACCTCTCCCTCACTGTTTCCTACAAGCCCCCACTAAGACTCTCTCTAGTTTTGGGCAAAAGGCTATAACTGCCATATGCACACAACAGAAAAGACCTATGTGCATGTACATTGGGATTACAGCACTCTTTCCTGTAATTAAAAAAAAATAAGAGACCATTTTAAGCAAAGGACTATTCAGCAGAACAACTGTAGATATCAAACAAAAAATTACACAATTTCAGCCAATGAAGTTGGTTGTTCTACTGATTCCTGTCAATGGCACAAGAAATAGTTCTGTTAAATTATAGATCTGTTCTACACTATTTGACATGGTTTGAGAAGAATTTTGATTAAATTATAGCCTCCTACATTTCCAAGTTCTTCTTCAGTTTGTCATGTCTAATTTAGTTTTAGAAAGATGTGTGGACACATATTCCATTAATATCTGAACTTAACTTGAACAGTCAAATATATTTCTATCATATGACATCACATTAAATGGACATGTTTCTCTGTCAAGTAAGAAAATACAAGCATTTAATGCAATATTCAATGAAATACAATTTGAAAGACTGAGGATGATACTGCTGATTTTATAAAAAGTAATTTGAGATGAGGATCTGAAATCATTCTTCCATTCTTCTAAAACAATCTACCAACCTTTTCCAATTATAATATTTATCAAGTATGCAGCATTTTGATTAAGTTACTTTCTTTTATGGTCTATAAAAACAGAATGTGAAACTGAGACGCAGAGAAATTAAATTCCTGGACCTGATATACTAATCCACGTGTGTCAGTGACTGAGGCAGAGAAAGACCCAAATAGTGCTTTAGGGGCATCAAAGTATTAATAATAGATATAATTTCTGCTACATTAAGGAAAATAAATTTTACACTGGGAAGATGATTTTGACTGACATATGACATACAGATATGACTGACATACTACCATATGTCAGGTTTTAACCAGGTTAAAAACTCTTTAGATGCTATGCATAAAAGTAGCTCCTAGATAGCAGATGAGTGAAGACAGAATGATAAACAAATAAAATTAGTCCTTTGCAAGACTAAACCAGTTAGTTGAACATTGTGACAATGTCAATACTCTTTGCTTGGCAGGTCTATTTTTTATTTAACATAATCTGTTGTAATACTGTGGGTCAAAGACTCAAGTAACCAAGTGCGGTATCATTAACTCTAATGGACTTTCAATATGCCTGGTCTGAAACTGCTGACTGGTTTATCCCTTATCAATCAAATGTGCTGAATCAATACACTTCAAAGAATGTTTGGTAAAAATTAGGTATGTAAGCACTAATCATTTATTTGTTTGATTTTCTTTCAGCAGACTAATTTTTAAGAAATTGTTTTTGAAATTATATTCCAGGATAATTATGCTTGTCTAAATATGGAGCAACATAATTTCCTGCAATGGAATTAATTCATATATATGTTATGATTAATAGCCAGTATTTTAGCATCTCAGGTCACTCCCAGCTACTGCTAAACACCAGAAGAAACACTGCTATGTGTCTACTCAGGTGATCTCCAGGAAATGAAATACATGTCACTTACTTTTCGTTGCTTTACAGAATCCAGTTTTACCAACCAATAGGATGCCACTTTTGTTTTATGATACTTCCAATTATCCATAATCTGTAGACATTGCAAAACACAAGATAAAAGAAATACACACAAAACCAACTGAAAACTGGCATTTCATTCATGAGCATTCCTAATGCTTAAAAGTGTGAGCATCTAAAGGACTTCTGCGAAAAAAAAAACTTTTCCCTAAAAGAAAAATATTTGCAAATTTATGTGGGGGAACATTTGCAAAGACATGCGCAATCTTTCATTTTAATCCTACCCTCTTTTCCACCTGATTCTAACAGTCATACGTTACCAAGCAGGTAGAAACCTGTCTTGACTGACTCAGATTGGATACCTTGAACACAGCAATAAATTCAATAATGCATAACTGTTAATCTATTTAAATAGTGAGGGGTTTTGCTGCATAAAGGACATTAGACATACCTTGAAAACATCCTTTCTATAAATGATCATATATGAACTGCAATACTCTCCTTTTATGATGTCTAAGTGCTACCAAAATAGCTCGAGCTGTGAATATACATTTTTAATTTCATTATTTTATCTTTCTATTCTATTCCAGACCTACAACAAGTTCTGCCTCACTGACAACTAACATACCACTACTTGTTTCCTTCCCTGATGAAATATTTTTTCCCATCAGAAACTGGTTAAGGCCCAACGAATTTATAAAAATTCTACAATAAGAAAGTGCATTTATAACCATGCTAACATTGTATGAGAAAGCACCACTAGATGGAGTGCGTACATACGCACACTCCCATACATACATAAACGCACACACACTCTCACATGTCTGAAAGAGAAAATGTATGAAGCATTTTATTTCTGCTTCTAAGACGAGAAGCTCAATATGCTAGTTATGAATGCTATCTTCCAGAATCATCCAAGTCAACCATCATTACAGGAGCATTCCTTTCCACTGTGATGTAGCTGCACAGATTACTAGAGACATAATCAACATTTTGAAAGCTCACAGAGCAAAGGACATTTCTGGCCAGATAATGAATTAGATGAATTTTAACACACCATGGACTGTGCTTACTACATCAGAATACAGGTGTTAATTTAAATTACTAGATCCCTCCATATTTCTACTAGACTGAGAAAAGAACTACATTCTTTTTTTTTTTTTTTTCCAAGCTGATGTGAGTTTCTCTGCACTAGATATTTAAAAGAGATTTAGATAGCACATATTTTCTGCTTATATATCTTAATACTAGGTGTTGCTTTTTAATTGCCCTTTAGATTGGGCATGGATTCACATGTCTTTGATACCAAATTATGGGGCTCAGGACAACGTTGGATGCAAGAAAGGCTAAGCTGGCAGGCTAGAAGAGCCAAAAAGACTGTGACTGGTGTTCTTTATGACTAGCAAACTTCCAGTTTGCCTTGCACCATACCGTTCTGAGTGCTCTAGTATGCCTATTCAAGAGCAAGTTAAACATGTCAGGATCTCTACTAACAATATTGGATGAAATATGAATTGTAACATTCTTCATAGCTTACTTAAATGCTTGAATTTTCTCCACAATGAAAGACTGAATTTTCCTAACCTTCCTGACTGTTTCTCATATATTTTATAAAGTCATAGGAATGTTTCCAGTGCTAATCTTTTAAGGTCAGAAGTATGCAAAGCTCCAAGCTTTCGAAATCTTTTGAATTATCCTGAGTTTTGGAAGTTTGAAGGCCACAGGAGCTCATGAATCATAAATTGAGATTTCTACTTCATTTTACTGGCCTAAACAGTAAGTGTCTACCCTGTTATTCTTCTTTCTTATTTATAGATACTTACATCTTCTATAATTAATTCTGATTCTTCATCTGTTTTTCCTGGGAACTTCATTCTCATGTCATTGATAATGAGCAGAGTCTCTTTTGTCAAAGCAACTTCTTGCTCTTTTGTTTTCTGTTGCAGCAAAGACTCACTCTAAAAACCAGTATGAAGCAGAGGAAAAATTTCAGGCATGTCATTAGATCACATTACAAAGATGTTTCCTTGACAAAAATAAATTCTAAATAGGGTGACATAAAATATATTATTGAAGTGTATAGATATATTATCTAATATTTAACTAGTATACACACATATGCCTCACGTACACTAATGCATCACCATTACTTATAGTTGTGAAGAAATTAAAGAAAAACAGTTCAAATATGTTTGTTTGAAACAGAACAAAGAAATATATATTTGATATTTATAATGCCCACCATTTAAAATATAAATCTGAAATTTAGATAACAGACTTTGAATTTAAATTCAACATAAAGAAAGAAAAATTATTAGTCATAAAAACTTCCTTTCAGTTCTTCACTGCAACAATTTAACAGAAACCGCCAATTATATGTCATTGTGCCAAGATTTCAGGAAGCATTAAAAACTAAGGACACTTTGCTCCTACTCTGGGCAGTGGAGGTTCCAAGAGTGTCCATGGTTTTGTTTAAAATATCAGTGCTTTTTATACCAACATCAACTTGAACCTCTACAGTTCTACAGTGTCTGCATAAGACCATCTCTGGAGGGTTTGGGGCGTTTCTTTAAATCTTAGACACTAGTTCAAAGTATTTCTGATCATCTTTACTTTTGCATACTTTTGCATTTGCAAGATTAAATAGGCTTAATTTTATGTTTTCTCAAGACTGAAATTCAAAATTTTTAGGCATTTCTACATCTTTGTATTTTGTAAGAATTACTTAAGGATATTTTTGCTTAAGTAATAAATATTTTCAAGCATAACAAAATATTTTGCTATATGAAATATAATACTGTGGCTGAAATAATAAGACAGCAAATATTTCCAAATCCACTTTTGTTTATAACTGCTATAATAATGTGTCTGTAAGTCCTAACTGTAAGTGGCTTATTCTAAACTTAGTTTCTATACCTTTAGAACATTTGGATCTCAGCAGCCTCCAAAAATGGCAATATACTTCTCTTCTCTTGCCCGAAGGATAGGTAAACTAATACTTTATCACACCCAAATGATTTCTTCTTAGAAAGTTACAGTTGATCAATTTTAATTTTATTCTAGCAGTAATATATAGTAAATTATTCTTAGTTGCAAAAATAATTATGAACAGAGTTCCATTCACAATACAGTGCTAAATTATGGGTAGTTCTTATCCATTCTGTAAGTAATTTTATTCACATTATTTTAAGAAGCATGACCTAAGCTCTATCACCCAATATAATTGTTCTGCATTATCAAGATCATTTCTGTGGTGGAGCTTTCTCAATGAAAAAGAGAGTATGGTTTCTTACTAATGTTAATTTAAGTGAGTAGCCCATTTTTAATGTCAGATAGTAAAGGACTGTTTTTAATCTTTCAGTAATTTGTATTTGATATAAAGTTAATGTGAACAGAAAAATCTATATTAGCCCTGTCTCATTAAACTCTCAAAGTACATCTTGATGATAAAAGGGTACTGTTTAAACTTGAGATAGCTAATGTGATAAAAAATACCTTTAACACGTTGTGGTGAAGACACAATCTTAATGTCTTTCCAATTCTATTAGCTGACTTTAAAGATGGAAAACCATGTTAAGGAGTATTTCACAAGATGTCAGCACACAATTTTAAAAGGATCCTTTTTCATCATTTAGACAAAGCCTCACAGGCAAAACAGACAATGAGCGTTCTACTGGATAAAAATGATGATTAGAGATAGTAAATACTATGAAGCAAGTTAATTAGCATTACAAAAGAATTTCTCACAATCAAAGCTCACCACAATAGAGAAAGTCTGCAAATATGGGTTAAAAGTGCCAATTTGTTTTGCCCCATCTCCAGATGAATTATTTGGGTGATGAAATGTATAGGTCAGCCACCAAAGCATGAATGGAAGTGCACTTGCACCAGCACACAATACAATACTGAATGAAGTTGGGGACTGATCCCAGCAAACACTGCCTAGGGATAAATGGGTATGTAGTCCATCATGCAAACACAAAAGGAGAAATGCCTGGGCTGTGAAGGAGATACTAAAGAGGATGACAGTCTGGTCATAGAAGGAAAAAAATGTATGGTTCAGAAGCACACTGTGAAATTACAACTAACCACACAAATTCTAAACAGGTAAAAGTGTTCATCTGATCTATTTATTCTATTAATTATTTAGTTAAACTCTCTGATTCTAAATGCTTGTCTGTCTCAAGGACAGCCTTCAAAATGAAAGAAGTTTTATTTTCTCTTTAAAAAAAAGAAGATGGCTTCTGAGACAGTTATTGCAGTGGCAAATCCTAAAGATGACAAGAACTATCTAAAAATTTTAAATTGTTCGCTTTGGAAGTAGAGCTCTACTGCAGTGGTAGAGCGTATGCTTTCAACAGTAGGTTGAAAAGTAATTACACCTCCTTCTACAATGACACCCATACAAAGTCTAACTAATGTTTTAATCTGGTACCATGTAGTTATCCTTGGTGTATACACTGGTTTTGAAATATTGATGTATTTTTTGTTACTGTAAAGGTTTTGAAGGTAGGTACATCCTTATTTCAGAACCAGCAATCCCCAAACAAATCACAGCAACTTTTTAAGAGAGGTAAAAACTCTTTATCTTCAAAAAAATATTTAGGAGAGAAGGCTTCCCAATCACAAAAATTCTTAAGATTTCCATTCTCACAAAATCTAACATTTGTATTGCTGCACCAGAAACACCAAAACACCACAGCTAGCACTCACTGTAAGTCATGTGCAGATGTAGAGATCTTATATTCCTGAGTTTCTGTCAAAATAGCATTGCTATAGTACCTCAGGTTTTCTGCCGTTGTAAAAATTAGCAATGTATTTATTGAGTTTTAGAGAAATGGAATGCATTTGGAATGCAACTGCTGTCTTCACTCACCCCTGAGGAGTTCATAGTTCCCAAGCTGGGTGTCTGAGAGACTCTGGCCGAAGATGGACTACGATTTAAAGAATGAGACCTATTCACTGAGGATGCACGCTGGATTTGCAGAGATGCTTTGGCTGAAACAGGACGTTGCTCAGCTGCCTGTGACTGCATAGTCAATATTGATATTGAACGAGGGCAGCTTACAGAACGCCTTATTGGACCTGTGGATGATGTGGGGGATGAATATGAAGGAGATTTTATGTTTTTAATCGAAGGTTTCCAGTTCATTCTACCTGCAAATGAAATGAATTATGTAATTACTTAATATTCTCTTCAAACCCATTTTTCAGTCTTTGTAACTAACAACATATATGACCAACATGTGTGCACATATGTTGTACTATAATGTATGTTGACTAACAAATAAATACGTAGTAGTCATGTCAGATCCCCTAATAACATACTTTACATACTCTGTAAGAACATTTATTTCTTCCTTATAGTCGGCTTTCATCAGGTAGATTCCAGTCTTCTATAACACGCATCAGATTTATGACAGAGCGCATATGCCCTATAGGTCAAAATGTATGTGGCTAGTGTGTGTGGCTTCCTGACTGTAAGAATATGGAAGCAGGAGAGAGAATTTGGTTGATGGATCCCATATTTGCAGATCCAGTCTCCCTCATCTGCTCCTGCATAGCTGTACAGTTTTTTAATTCAGTCTTCTGCTAAATAAAGGATGCTGCTATGAAAAATAAAATTTTAGAAGCAGGATTATATGCATGCAATTACCTGATGAAATTATTTGAGACAATACACCGCTAAAACAAAAAGTAACATGCTATATCTACCATGTTCCAACAGAACAGGCTCATGCTAAGGCTCTGCAGCAAGCAAGAAAACAATCACAAAAAAAAATAAATTGGTGCAGGGATCTCATCTGGAATATATCACCTTCTGTATGCCTCCAGATACATTTCTTTATCCTTTCTATATTCCAGCAAATTCAAGCTTAATAAGACTACCTTTTACAGGGAAAAAATAACAATCTGCTCAAAAAAAAAAAAAAAAATCTAAGAGCAAAGAGGAACATTCACACCATTTCCAAGTGTAGCCCGGGCGCATTTTTCTCTTTAGCATTCTTGGCAAAAGAACATTCTTTTTTTTTTTTTTTTCAAATTCATTTTGATTAATTTAGAAAAGTTTTTAAAGAAGACGAAACAAGCAAACCAGTGTTTAACCCTGAGTTACAAAAGTTGATACATTCTAAAATAGTGAAACATTTATATAATTTATCATGAATGCCAGGCTTAATTGGAAAAGTCATCATTTAACTTACCTGATCGTTCCAAAGATTTGTATTTGTTTTCTTCAAGATCATATGAAACTTTTTTCTCCTTTTTTTCATTATGATCTTCCTTTTCAGTTTCTTCTCCTGATTCTGACATACTGCTACTGCTGTCACAGCTACTATCACTATTGTAATTCTTAAGTTTTCTTAAGGGCTGTGCACTTTCTGGCATTGAATACAAGGGCTAAAGCGAAAAAAAAAAAAAAAAAAATTAATTCCTTCATAATCCCAAAAGAACACTTTACTATCATCACACTAGGTTCCTGATTCAGGCAGGTTAATTTGTACGTATGTAAACCCTCCTAAATTAGATTGGAAGTTTGTCCTTAATTTTAGAATAAATGCTTAAACATTTCATTAAATTCAGTACACAGTAATCCTAATCTTTCTCCCATGAAGAGCAGCATAATATAGTAAGGGGGAAAAAAAAAAGTATTTATTTCAAGTATGACTTATACTACCAGACACTGAATTATAGTTTGAAATCATAAATCAAATGATACAGGATACCATTTACAATCAGTTTCAATCCCTGACTGATATTTGCAATAACTGAAGCTATAGTTTAACAATTATCAGCATGAACTAAAGAAATACATCAGGGAACTTTGGCTAGTATACTTCTGAAAGAGAAAGTGATTAATCCACATCCTGCAGAAAGCAGAAACTGGAAGAAGATAGCAAGCTATGGTAGGTGTATTTAGTGTCCTGTATGGACATGGGATTCAGTGTCGTTGGGTAATTAATCTTGTGTTATTACCAGCATATTGTGAGACAAAAATCAAAAAGTAGGAAACAGAGAAATTGATGCAAAAGCAGAAACTACAAATGAAAGTTTGTGTTCCTCCATCTACCATCACACAGACAAGAAAAGTGCAATATCCTCCATTATGTCTATTATCCTAAGAAGGCTCATGTGGCCACTCTTTTTTCCTACACATTTTCTTTCCAGTAACTCTCAGCTATAAGAAGCTATGGTAATGGCCTCATCTTCCCAGTCATCTAATGGACTGCAATTAAAACTCAGATTTAAAAAAATTAATATCATAATTTCTGAACATATTTTGGGTCAGAGTGAAATAGAAGAACTCTCAGGATGAATTTAAATTGCCCTGTTATCTTAGCATAATGTAATGCACCAAGATTTATTGTGATGGGCAATGGAAAGAAGCCCTGAATATACTGTTCCTGCAAGATACACTTAATAACTAAACATATGCTACCTAAACTTACATTCCAGCCAAGGAAGGAAAGAGATTTCTGCTAGTAACTTAAAAGCAACAGTATGTTTATGCAAGCCCAGGCTGTTAGACCAGATAAGGAAGAGTTGAAGAAGAATATTCCATTGAGGAGAGCCCTGGCAATTGTTCAATTACGCAAACAATATTTTGGTATCTATCTGCCTGCCAAAAGGACAAATTAAGGTGCCTCAACACTTATTGCTTTCTCAAAAATAGCTGTTCTAATCATGAAATGCTGTGTATCATGGAGATATATTCATCAGACATTCCTGATGAGTTATATGAGGTGTAATAAATATTTTCAATCAAAACTCACAGGGGCTTTAAGGTAGATCTCATTTCCACTTATCACATGCATGTTCCTCACACATTCTACACTAAACAATAAGAACATCCTGATCAAGATTTCACATCAATTAACAAAGAAGAATAAAAAGAAAGGTCAAAGAAATTACAAAAAGCAATAATGACAAATAATAGCTAGATCTGGGTTTAAACTGACCTCTTAAAATAAGAGATACTTGATTGCTCACCAATTCTAATCACCTTGATTTTCCCCTTATGCTAACCTGATTTTTCTTCGATTAAAGTCATCTGATTTTATATCAGAAGAATAAAAATAAAAGTAATTGCTCGTTTACTCTAAAGTATCTATTATTTTATTTCCTTAGGTCTTTTTCCTGCACAAACAGGTGCAATGTAATCAACACGCGTAAACCTTACAGTGTGTAAGTATAAGGTGCCCTCTAGAGGCTACAAATAAACCAGACATTTCCAGAATGTATTTCTCAATATAAGTAGAGTTCAGTCATAATTTCATTGCAGGCAAAAGTGCCTTCATTGTGAGAAATTCTTGTTTTGTTTTCTACTTGGAGGTCCTAATCATGTTCAAATAAAAATAAGGCTGAAATTCCTAGCAAATATGGAATAGATGTTACATGCAAAGCTTATTAATACACACACCCCTCTCTACCCCTCATATATACATATAAATGCATGTATAAACATATGTGTATACGTATGTTTCCATGTATGGAGGAGGATGAGGAGGAAAACACCCCTCTCTCCTAACTATTCCAGCTGTTCTGTATAGTTTTCTGAGTCCTGACAGTTCGTTTTTCCAAAGACGAGAGTGCGCCCAAGGCAGAGCATCTAACAGTAGCTTCTGTCAGCAGGCCAGCCACTGACTTTTAAGGGAAGACATGACTTCATGAACTTCTGAAAGAGCCTTTCATGTTGGGTAACATGACGTGAAAAGCACTGTTCCCTCAGGTATGTTTCGTCTATTAGATCTTGCATACCTTACTTTTTTGATATGCTAATGGATCTTTATTTGTAGGATTTTATGATTACAAGAAGATGAGTTTTACAGCTGGATTATTCTCTTACCTGATAGATTAACAGGCAATAGCACGTTCTGCTGCCTACCTCATTCACCAGATTTCTATACAGATATATATTTAGACACTACATGTCTCATAGCAGACCCTTTACAAAGAGGTGGCCAATCAAATGCATATTATTAGACATATGCACCTTACCCCTTACAGGAAAGAGGTGATGCTCTTTTGGTACAAGATGCAAGCACCATCCGTAAAGGGCATCTGTGTTTCAAAAGGTGTGCATAGGATATTAAGATAATATAGGACATTATTCTCACTCATAAATTGATCAAACTTCAACTTAAAACTAATTAAGAGAGGTTTCTCAGTTTAGGCTAAGTACACTATTAAATGTTTATCACCTCCAGCTTGGGAATGGCTTGTGTCCAATCAATGTAGAGATAGTATAAAGCAAGTCTGCGTGCATACAGTCAACCAGATAGATGCTCTCTGAGGACTGTTGGGAAAACATAGGCTTCCAATTAAACTTGAATTAAGTGACCCTATGTTAAAGAACTGAAAAAAAAAACCCTCAAGGAAAAGAATCCCTGAAGATTGTGGATCAATTGTGTTGCTAGGGTGGACTGGATT